CAGGAGGTGCAGAATGGATTGTTCTCAGTGGCAATATATTACTGTGAGTCACACCTATTGTTCCCATGCCAAGTATTTTAAGGGTGGCTTGTTCTTGAAGGGGCAATTAAGAGCAATGAGCTTTACAAAAGACCCATTCTTAGAGACAACAGCTACTAGATGGAGATGAAACACACTTTGTATTTTTGGATTCTCTTGTGTGGTATTGGTATGGATGCTCTCAGGATGCACACCTGCACTTCAAAATTTACTACTACACCACCTGCACTGCTGGCATGAGATAAGAGGTTAGGTCTTCTCTCCCTATTGAGCTAGGTAATCTAGCAGGAGCTGGAATTTAACATCTGGAACCTCTTAATTCATGAAAACACATCACGTAGTGCTGTCAATCGATTAACAAGGAAGGCAAGTGAATAGGACTTATGATTTATTTGTTTGTTATTTGATTTTTATATCTCACCCTTCAGATCACCAGAATTCCCAGTGTAGCTTACAAGTTAAAACCTATGGAAACTAAATAATGGTTGGCCATTAGGAGCCAGGGAGTTTCAACTATCCTCAAGCTTGTATACCTGTGGTTGCCCTTTCTGGCTGCAAGTCTGTTGGTAGAATAAGAATTTGAACTCGGGTCTTCCCATTCTACATCCCAGATCCAGGAAAGATTCCTTCAAAAAGTATGAGTGCAATGGCATGCTGAAATTATTTAGAACTGGGTGGTCCTGAAACCAGATTTCTATCCTACTGCTGTCCATTTATGGATAGCTTCCACAGGTCCTTTTAGCCATTCTTCTCAAATGTAACTTCCCAAACTCTGCCACATCCTACTACACTAATGGTGGCTAGACTTCAGACATGCAGTTGTGGATGTTTTTTTTATTTTTAATAAAAACTGAAATCTGCCAGTTAGGCTTTAGTGTAAGAGATGAACATTTCAGTCTTCATTGGATGAGAGACACTAATTCCATACAAAAACAGTGCGCCCTTAAGAAGAAAAAGCTGTTTATGCTAACATGGCCTTGCCTCAATCTGCATTTGGCAAATTAGCTGGTTTTTGTTTTATAATCCGTCTTTTGGGAGATAGCACTGGAAGCTTTGTGAGGCATATACTGTAACACTGAGAGATTTGCCTGTCTGGAGGCATATGTTTAGGAATAACAGAGAGACTAGTTTAGGAGTGACACAGGATGTGTGGCATTGCATTGTTCTGCTCTTCAGAAAGGGGAATGGCTGGGGAGCTGAGAAGGGACACCTGGAAAGTTGCCACTGGTTCCCTCAACATCTACAGTTTGAGGCAGTCGTCTCACACTGCCCAATGGTAGGACTGGTCCTTAACTGAAGACAGAATGGTCCTGAATGGAAAGAAAGAATGAAACTGAAATAGAGGACATTTGTATGTCCCTGTGTGTGCATGTGTTTGGGGAGACATACCTACATTCTAGACTGAAAAGGAGAGAAGAGAAAATGTAGCAGAAACAAAAGGTTTTCACTGAATGTTTAACAGAAGATTGTCACAACAGAGTGAATAGTAATCATGTACACATTATGTAACTGTCATCTATTGAACAGCTCACAAATATCCAACCACAGCAGCTGAGTTTACAGGAGAAGCTGTGGATCGTAGACTCAACAGTTCTCAGAAATGCAAGAGAGAGAAAGAACAAAAATCTCTCTATCGTATGTTGGAAGAACTATTGTCCTATTTACATCTGTTCAGACAGGATGGTCTGCAATAGATAGTCTGCTTGAAAGCACGAGCATAATTAAGGGCATAATTCCAAACAAATGTACCCATGAGTAAGCCCCATTGAACATTTTAGGCTGCATTTCTATCATGAATGAAAATGGCCAACGCTTGCTAGAGTTTTGCTGTTATTATGGTCTTTGTGTCAGCAACATATTCTTCAATATGAAGCTTTGACACAGAATCTCTTGGGGACATCCAAGAACGAAGCATTGGCATCAGCTCGATTTGATCCTCACTAGACACTTTAGCCTTCCAAGTGCTACGACCACAAACAGTTATCAGGGTGCTGATCACTTCCTGGTGTGTATCAGAGTAAAATTGCAAATAAAGAGATTGTATCACAAGAAAAAGGAAGGAAGACCATTATTGACATCAGCAAGACTTGAGATCAGAGAAAAGTGGAGGAATTTGCCCAAGCACTTCAGGAAACCCTTCCAGGCCCGGCTGATGGACTTGCACCTGAACGATGGGAACAACGCTGTTTATAACACCGCCTTGTCCACATTTGGCAAGAAGACCAAAAAGACAGCAGACTGGTTCGAAGCCCATTCGGAGGAGTTGATGCCACCCATCGAGGATAAGAACAGAGCTCTAGCAGCATATAAAGCCTGTCCTAGTGAGTACAACTTGCAGGCTCTTCAGCTTGCTTGTAGCAAAGTCCAACAGAGTGCCAGGAGACGTTCCAACCATTATTGGTTTCACCTCTGCTCTCAGATACAGATAGCAGCAGACACAGGTAACATCAAGGGAATGTCTGATGGTATCAAGGAGGCTTTAGGTCCAATCCAGAAGAAATGTGCTCCTTTGAAGACTGCTACAGGTGTGATCATCCAGGACCAAGCACAGCAGATGGAACACTGGGTGCAGCACTACTCTGAGCTATATTCTAGAAAGAATGTAGTAAACAAAGAGACATTAAATAACATTGAGTGCCTGTCTGTCTTGGAAGAGCTGGACAGGGAACCAACTCTAGCAGAAATAAAAGGCACCTTGGATTTCCCTCACCTCCAGTAAGGCACCTGGGAAGGATAACTTCCCTGTTGGAGTGCTGAAGTGCTGTAAATAGGCCATCACCATCGAGCTGTATGAAATCTTTTGTTTGGCTGGAGGCAAGGTGGACATGAAGGATGCAAACATTGTCACATTGTACAAGAACAAAGGCAACACGGGTGATTGCAATAACTACCGCGGCATCTCTCTTCTCAGCGTCGTAGGGAAGCCGCTTGCCCACGTTGTTCTGAAGAGGATCCAGGTGCTTGTGGACAGAATCTATCCAGAATCACAGTGTGGATTTCGAGCTAATGGATCCATGGTGTTTCCCCTCAGACAGTTGCAGGAGAAATGTAGGGAACAACAACAGCCCTTCTTTATGGCCTTCATAAATCTTACAAAGACCTTTGATTTGGTTAGCTCAGATGGCCTTTTTAAAATCCTTCCCAAGACTGGATGTCTAGCTCGACTCCTTAACATCATCATCATGAGGAAATGAAGGGCACTGTAGTTTTTGATGGCTCAACATCTGAACCCTTTGACATCCAAAGCGGAGTGAAACATGGCTGTGTCCTCGCACCGACCCTGTTTGGGATCCTTTTTGCTGTCCTGCTGAAACACGAGTTTGGAACTGCAACAGAAGGTGTCTATCTCCAAACTAGATCAGATGGAAATCACTTTAATCTCTTTAGATTGAGAGTGAAGACCAAAGTCCAGCTGAAATGCATGCGGGACTTCCTCTTCACCAATGATGCAGCTGTTGTTGCCCATTCTGCTGAAGACCTCCAACTACTCATGAATCGCTTTAGCAAGGCCTGCCAAGACTTTGGATTAACAATCAGCCTGAAGAAAACACAAGTCATGGGCCAGGGCATGGACTCACCTCCCTCTATTACCATCTCCACGCAAGATTTGGAGGTTGTTCATGACTTTGTGTACCTTGGCTCAACCATCTCTGACACTCTCTCCCCAGATGTCGAGCTGGATAAACGCATTGACAAAGTAGCTACCAGGTTCTCTAGACTCACAAAGAGAGTATATCTTAATAAGAAGCTGATGGCAGATACCAAGATCCAGGTCTATAGAGCTTGTGTCCTGAGTACACTCCTGTACTGCAGTGAGTCCTGGACCCTTTGTGCATGGCAGGAGAGCAAGCTGAACATATTCCATCTGTGTTGTCTCTGACACATTTTTGGTATCACCTGGCAGGACAAAGTTCCAAATAGAGTAGTCCTAGAAGAAGCTGGAATTTTGAGCATGTATACATTACTGAAACAGTGATGTCTACATTGGTTCAGGCATGTCGTAAGAATGGCCGATGGTCGGAATTAAAAAGATCCCCTGTATGGAGAATTCGTGCAGGGAAAGTGCCCCAGAGGAATACCACAACTGTGATACAAGGATATCTGCAAGCAGGATCTGAAGCTCTTTGGAATGGACTTCAACTGATTGGAAACCTTGACATCTGAGCATTCAGCCTCAGGTACAGCGGAAATGTGGTACAGCATGCCTCTCCCATTTTGAAGAGACATTTGTCCAGCAGGCAGAGGCAAAGAGGCAGTTCCAAAACCAGCAAAATCAGGGAGCTGGACAGAAAAGAGATTGTATTTGTCTTCAGTGTGGAAGGGATTGTCACTCTTGAATTGGCCTCCTCAGCCACACTAGACGCTGTTCCAAGTCCTCCATTCAGAGCACATTACCATCGTCTCTCGAGACTGAAGGATGCCTACACACATGCATAGAATTGAGCCTTGAGAATCTTCAAGTATTGCTCCAGAATCAAAGGGATCGTAGATTGAAAATGATTTGGGTATAAATGTTGTAGTAAAGTGTAATTATTTGGGTAAGTGAACTTAGACATAGCATTGTATCGTAGAACTGGAAGGTTCCCACGTCTCGTCCAGCCTCCAGCCATTGCAAGAATCTACAGTTCAATAACAGAATAATCTATTCTACCCCTCCCCCCACCCATGCAGCAATCCTCAAGGGAGAGCCACTCAACCTCTGTTTGAAAGTCTCCACCATCTTCTGAGGGAGTCTGTTTCAAGACAGTACAACTCTTACTGTTAAGAAACTCTCCCTAATCATTCCTGAGGATTCTTCTTGCACAGAGCCATCTTTCTCTGGCTAGCTTTCTGAGATTTAATACATTAAAATAAGAATTAAAAAAAATCTTTCCTATCTTTGCAATCTTCTTAACTATAGACATGATGTATCTTTTAGCCCAGCCTCCCCAAATATGTGTGATCACAACCTCCATCATCCTTCACCAGAGATACCATTGGCTGTGTTGCTTAAGGGTGAGGGAGTTTATCTCTAGACAATGTATCTTGAGGACACCAGAATAAGAAGAGCTCATTTAAGGAGATAAACTATAAGCACGATCCTGGGAACTGCTTGCATTCAGAAGATGTGCGCCATCCTTAAACAATACCTTTCCCCATTCTTGGTAGAGGAATATCAATCATGCAGAATCCCTTCCAAAGTGGAAATTTGTTGAATAGGGATGTCATGGCATCTAATTCCTCTGTTCTTGTTATTTTTCCCAAATTCATGTTCTTCAACTCACTTTATGAAGTTTCTTAAACTCTGCAGGACTATAGGACTATGTATTCCTGTGGAATGGGCCATCAGGATCCTGATTAAAGGAAACCTGGCCCAGTCTGATCCCCAGAGATCTCAACAGCTGGATATGTATTTTGTCTTGCCTGCCTTTTTACACCATTCCTAGTATTTACCACTCTTGCTCCACATCATTGTTTGGTTACTAGCACAGGCACCAAGATGCATGATATTCTGATACTGAGAAATGTATTAAGGGAAGCAGGCATTGCAGAAAGGGAAGCCTTAATGCAGCTTCCCCAGCATGATGTCTTCTAGATGTTATTGACTACAAAGCCCATAGTTCTTGACATATTGTCTAGAAACATCTTGATGGACTCAGGTCACAGAAAGTTGGTCTCACTATTTCCTAGTTCTAGTGCTAGCAATGTGGAGTTCTAGCTAGTTCCTAGTTAAATAATCTTGGATATTTACTTTTTAAACGGAGCTGGGAGAAGTCACTTTTTGGACTACAGCGCCCATAATCATGGCCACCAGCTATACTACATAGGGAATTCTGGATGTTATACTCCAAAAATAAAAAAAATTCCTTATATTTTCCATCTGCTATTTTAGAAACCCAAAAAACATAGCTGACAATTATGTGAGGGCCCAATTACTAGTCATAGTGAATGCTTAAAAGCAATCCCTTCAAACAGGCAGGAGGTAATTAAAGAGTTCTGAGTAATGGTGATGGTTCTGCCAGATTTGGCTTGATGAACCAACAATGAATCACCAGAAATGCCACCAATCAGGAATTGCTGTGATATTCTTTAGTACAGACATGCGTTCAAAATAATGTAAGCACGGTAGTCTTTGTGTCCTTGTTCAGCTCCCTTTCACAAGATTGATTCAGAGAGAGGGGAGCTTCATGACTTGGAAAGAGACAAGGAAATGTGCACCGTTATATGCTTACATGTTCCAAAGGGGGAAAAATTGGTAGGGGGTGCTTGGCACGTAAGAGAATAAAGACAAAGAAAGGAGACACTGTTAAAGGCACACAACTTATATGAGGCTGGATTATTGGATTTTGCCTCTGGGGAAATGTCAAGGCCATTACTGAATCAAAATACAGACCTAAAATATGTGTTGCTGGCATTTACAATTTTTTTTAAAAGCAGGGTGGGTTGGATGAGATATATGTAGATTTTGATTTAGCAGTATAATCCATAAGGTACATGTTAGACACCTGTTTTCTTCCTTCTGGGCTCTGCTGCCCTCTTGTGGAAAGGAGGAAACTATCTAAAAGGAACCAATGACATGGTTTATTTCACAGGGTGGAGTGGTCGGGGAATCTTCGTTTAATTTAACAACCAGTTGTTGCCCAAAATTCTCATCCAGTGGGATTGTTAATTTCTGTCAGTTAATATGCAGAATGCAGGTATGTTAAAATACCAAAAGAAAATCGAAAACTCCACAGTGTTCATGTTGAAAAGTAATTCACTTCTGAGACAGGCTTTGCACATGTCATGCACTTGATTTCTCCCATTTCTAGCTAGATAAAAAAGGGCTCTTACCCATTCCCTCAGATGGCTGTTAGGAGGACTAAAAAAAAGTTGAAAGGAAGAAGTTGAAAGCTCTAATCCCAAACCTTTAAAAAACCCACTTAGAGATGCGGAACAGTAAAATGACAACCTGAAAATTGGAGTTAGATTAGACATCCTTCAGTCTCGACAGACTATGGTAACGTGCTCTGTATGGAGGACTTGGAACAGCATCTAGTGTGGCTGAGGAGGCCAATTCGAGAGTGACAATTCCTTCCACACTGAAAACAAATACAATCTGTCTCCTCTCCAGCTCCCTGGTTTTGCTGCTTTCGTGACTGCCTCTTTGCCTCGGCCTGCTGGACAAGGGTCTCTTCAAAATGGGAGAGGCCGTGATGCACCGTCTGCCTCCAGGCTGAATGCTCAGATGTCAAGGTTTCCCATCTGTTGAGGTCCATTCCTAAGGCCTTCAGATCCTGCTTGCAGATATCCTTGTATTGCAGCTGTGGTTTCCCTCTGGGGTGATTTCTCTGCACTAATTCTCCATACAGGAGATCTTTTGAATTCCAACCATCGGCCATTCTCACGACATGCCTGAACCAATGTAGACATCACTGTTTCAGTAATGTATACATGCTCAAAATTCCAGCTCGTTCTAGGACTACTCTATTTGGAACTTTGTCCTGCCAGATGATACCAAAAATGCTTTGGATGTCAAAGGGATCTGATGTTGAGCCATCAAAAACTACAGTGCCTTTCATTTCCTCATGAAAGGACCTGATGATGTTAAAGAGTCGAGGTGAACATCCAATCTTGGGAAGGATTTTAAAAAGGCCATCTGTGCTAACCAAATCAAAGGCTTTGTGAGATCTACAAAGGCCATAAAGAGTGGCTGTTGTTGTTCCCTACATTTCTCCTACAACTGTCTGAGGGAGAATATCATGTCAGTGGTTGATCTAGTAGCTTGAAATCCACACTGTGATTCTGGATAGACTCTGTCTGCAAGCACCTGGTGTCTCTTCAGCACAACAAGCAGCTTGCTTACAACGCTGAGAAGAGAGATGCCACAGTAGTTATTGCAGTAGCCTCTGACTCCTTTGTTCTTGTACAATGTGATGATGTTTGCATCCTTCATGTCCTGTGGTACTCCACCTTCCCTCCAGCCAAGACAAAAGATTTCGTACAGTTCAGTGGTGATGATCTCTTTACCGCACTTAAACAGGGATGTGGTGTTATCCTTCCAAGGTGCCTTGTCGGAGGATAGGGAATCCAAGGCCGCTTTTATTTCTGCTAAAGTTGGTTACCTGTTCAACTCTTCCAAGACAGACAGGCACTCAATGTTATTTAATGTCTCTTTGTTTACTACATTCTTTCTAGAATATAGCTCAGAGTAGTGCTGCACCCAGTGTTCCATCTGCTGTGCTTGGTCCTGGATGATCACACCTGTAGCAGTCTTCAAAGGAGCACATTTCTTCTGGATTGGACCTAAAGCCTCCTTGATACCATCAGACATTCCCTTGATGTTATTTGTGTCTGCTGCTATCTGTATCTGAAAGCAGAGCTGAAGCCAATAATTGTTGGAACATCTCCTGGCAGTCTGTTGGACTTTGCTACATGCAAGCTATAGAGCCTGCAAGTTGTACTCACTAGGACAGGCTTTGTATGCTGCTAGAGCTCTATTCTTATCCTCGATGGCTGGCATCAACTCCTCCGAATGGGCTTCGAACCAGTCTGCCATCTTTTTGGTCTTCTTGCCAAATGTGGACAAGACGGTGTTATAAACAGCGTTCTTGAAATGTCCCCATCATTCAGGTGCATTTGCATCAGCTGGGTTTGGAAGGCTTTCCTTAAGCAATTGGGCAAATTCCCCCACTCTTCTTTGATTGCGAGTCTTGCTGATGTCAATACATGGTCTTCCTTCTTTTTTCATGTGATATAATCTCTTTGCTCGCAGTTTTACTCTACTACACCAGAGAGTGATCAGTATTGTAATCAGCACTCTGGTTACTGCATGTGATCGTAATACTAGGAAGGCTAGAATGTCTAGTTAGGATCAAATCGAGCTGATGCCAATGCTTCGAACTTGGATGTCTCCAGGAAACTCTGTGTTGAAGCTTCGTATTACATAAAGTATTGATGAACAAAGACCATAATAACAGCAAAACTCCAGCAAGCGTTGGCCATTTTCATTCATCTTCCCAATGCCACTCTAGACAAGTGGGCCAAGAATTTTGATCAGCACCAACTCTAGTATTAAAGTCTCTGAGAATGAAGAGTGGTGCTCTCTTGGGGTTTTTTAAATAGTAGCTGCCAGATCGTTGTAGAATTTGTCTTTGACTTCTGTTGTGGATGACGGTGTTGCTGCATATGCACTAATGAGGGTGACCGGTCCCACTGATGAGTGGAGCTGCAGAGACAGGATTCTTTCACTCCCCACAGTAGGTGGAACATTGGATCTCAGCAGAGTATTTCTGACCGCAAAGCCAACACCATATTCCCTGGTCTCATGCAATGGTTTTTCCCTGCCAGAAGAATGAGAAGTTTTTTTGTTTGACAGATCCATCTCTGGCAATCTCATCTCTTGCAGGGCAACAATGTCCATCTGCAGTCTTCTCAGTTCCATGTTGATGACAGCTGTCTTGCGCACATCGTCTATTTCCTGCAGGTCATCAGAAAAGCCAGAGTCATTGTCCTAACATTCCAGGTGCCCAATTTTAGGGCATAAGTTTTCTTATGATTTTTGAATGGTGCAGGGTTATCAATCTGCTTGTTGGCTTTCACCCTATACCCCACACACCCCATGACTTTAACAGACCGTGGCGAGGTAGCACCTTACTGGCTGGGGACTGCCCATCTTAAGGCAGGGGGGATAGCTACTGTTGGATGTAGCCCCTGGCATCATGGTAAGGTAAAGGTAAAGGTTCCCCTTGACAATTTTTGTCCAGTCGTGTTCAACTCTAGGGGGGGTGCTCATCCCCGTTTCCAAGCCGTAGAGCCAGCATTCGTCCGAAGACAATCTTCCGTGGTCACATGGCCAGTGTGACTTAGACATGGAATGCTGTTACCTTCCCTCCGAAGTGGTCCCTATTTATCTACTTGCATTTCCATGCTTTCGAACCGCTAGGTTGGCGGGAGTTGGGACAAGCGACGGGAGCTCACTCCGTTGCGTGGATTTGATCTTACGACTGGCATCATGCTCTATGCCAATCGAGCAAAGACTTATAACTAGTAACTGCTCTTCCTGTGTTGTTTCAATGCTGTATGTGGAGCTGGAGTTTCCTCTCCAGAGCACGAAGCCTGGATAAAATAATATGAAGGATAGCCTGTTACCGAAGCAGCAAATCTCCCCTCTCCACATAACTGAAATAGTCCAATGGAAAGGCAAGAGCCAAGACAACTGGTTCCAGCAATGTCACAGGAATTGCCAGAATGACATGAACTGCCTTTGGGACTCCGGCTCTGGGTTGGAGTTGATCCGCTCTATTTGAAATTGGAGTTGATCCCCCCCCCTATTTAAAATTGGAATAGATCCCCCCTATTTAAAAAATTATCTTCTCTCGATTATCTATGACCCCAAAATAGCAGCAGAGCTTAATGTTTCCCTACCTAAACTAAAATATGGTGTATGCTTTTGGGTGTGCAGCTGTCTTTTAGGTACTGAGGCCACTGAGGGATGATAGGCTTCCATGCGAAAGACAGACAAACAGATGGATGGGTGGACAGATATACAAATACTGGGGAGATGGGGGAAAAAGAAAATCGTACATAAAATCACTTAAGTGTTTCCGAAAACAAATCAGGCCGTGCTTCAGGCTTATCATCTGTGACACAGATCATTCAAAAACTGGAGAAGTTTTCTGAGATGCAGTTGTACAGTTTTCAGCAGCAGTAGCAAGTAAACCAACTCAGGCTGTGGCTACATTGTCAATTACTTTGAGATTTGCTCCCCAAGTTATCATGGGTCAATTCAAATTATTTTTCAACATTCACATGATGGTAAGTCCAATGCAAATCAGCTGTCCTTTTTAGTTTCTAATTAGAAGGTTTTTTTCCTCTGCTGCCAGGGGCTTCAACTTTTTAAAAGCCATAATGATTGGAATGGTGTTTTCACTGTGTGATCATTTTTTGTTTCATTCTACAAAAGGACAGGGGGCATGACTCTGGATAGTGTTGTGATGTTGCATGAAGTCGGGGCATGATGTTTTGAGATAGCTGGAACATACACACCCATAATCTTTTTTCGTAATTGTCTAAAGTATTTTTTTTAACTATTACATTTAGCTCTCAATTAGCTCTGCATAGAAAAAAGGAAGAAAGAAGATGGAAGGATCGTTAGGAGGGTGGTGTTAAGGGAAGGGGTGCCATGGGCTGTGGGTGTGTATCAAATTATATTGGGTTGAGGAACATTTTAGGCACTACGTAGTTCCCCAAACCATTGGGACCTTAGTGCAAAGCTGAATTGCTCCATATTGGCTGCCAGTGGAGTTGCACCCTGAGTCCTCAGAGATAACTGAGGGGGATGGGAATGGATATTGCCTGACAAGGAATTGAACTTTGGCATGCACAGAACCTTCAGTGGACCTGCATCCAAGCCTCCAATCTGTGTGATTTTTGCATTTTGAAGGAGAGGGAGCAAGAATCTTGCAAGAGGGTGCAGGAAATGGAGGAATGAGTTAGGTGAGGTGGGAACTGGACTTTAAAATGTCACTTCCTGAATTTTCACTCAGCCCCTGAACATAGGTGGGAGGGAGGGAAGGAAGGAAGGTTGGTTGGTGGTAAGTTGAAAGTAACAGAAATGTGTCTTGATGACACTGAATATTGTGAATCTTTGCAAAATAAAGACACCAGAAAGAAAGAACGAAAGAACGAAAGAACGAAAGAACGAAAGAACGAAAGAACGAAAGAAAGAAAGAAAGAAAGAAAGAAAGAAAGATGTGAGCATGTTTCACCATAATTTGCTCTTTCTTTCTTGAGTTTATGTAATCAGAATGCACAGGTGATGGCTTTCCACAGTGACTTTGAGATTGAAAGGAAAGGCCCCCAATTTTCCCCACTTAGCGAACAAATAATGTGTAGCTAAAACCTCTCTCATTACTGCCTCCACTGTAATTACAGTAGAACCTGTTGTACCATCTGCACAGTTTCCCTCAAGGATGAATTTTCTATTGCCAAGACATCACATTTTCCAGCTCTCAAATGACTGTAGTCCAAGAGCTGGAAAGCACCTTGTCTTGTTCGTGTCAAGGCCCTTGGATGTTCCTCCCTTGGAAGAGGCCAATACACAACACAAGTTGGTCCTTCACTCGAGTCAAGGTTGTGAAGATATTGCCAGGGAAGCCTGCAATTGACCTTCCTGGGGGGCACTCAAGCACTCTACTTATAATTGAACCACTGGCATTTAGACGTCAGCTCACAGTTGTGTTCCTCTGCCTCTCTATATTTGACACAGCAGAAGACACTCAATCTCTCCTTTAATCTACTTCAAGAAAGCTGGCCTTTCCAAAGATACAGGAAACTCCAGGAAGAGCAGCATTCTATATCCTCTCAAAGCCCGTTCTGGAAATGGGTTAGGGTACACTGCCACTTTTCTGCCCTTTGAAAAATGAGCCACTAGTTTCTGTGCTGCAAACAATTGTAACTAAACGTTTAGAGGAAACACCCATAAATTCCCTGTCACTTTATAGCCATTGAAGGGGATGCGGTTGAAACTGAAATGTATGAATTATGCAGAGAAGATGTGTCAGTGGTAACCAGAGTCTCCACACCATTAATGACTGATCTCCTGTATGGAGAATTAGTGCAGGGAAATTGCCCCAGAGGGAGACCACAGCTGCAATACAAGGATATCTGCAAGCGGGATCTGAAGGCCTTAGGAATGGACCTCAACAGATGGGAAACCTTGACATCTGAGCATTCAGCCTGGAGGCAGGCGGTGCATCACAGCCTCTCCCATTTTGAAGAGACCCTTGTCCAGCAGGCCGAGGCAAAGAGGCAGTCCCGAAACCAGCAAAATCAGGGAGCTGGACAGGGGACAGATTGTATCTGTCTTCAGTGTGGAGGGGATTGTCACTCTCAAATTGGCCTTCTCAGCCACACTAGACGCTGTTCCAAGTCCTCCATTCAGAGCACGTTACCATCGTCTCTCGAGACTGAAGGATGCCTAATCATCAATCAATGACTGATCAATACAAGTTGGTGAGGATAATAACCATAATTTATGTAACATTTTGAAATGTCCATGGGGCTTTCATGTGCATTATCATTGCAATCAGCACAACAGTCACGTTAGGTAGCCCACTATTCTTTTCCCAATTTTTGCAGAAGGGAGGACAGAAAGAAAGGGAAGCTGAACATCAGCTTGCACAAGGCCATCTAGTTAAATTTATGACAGAGGTGGGATCTGAACCCAGAGCTTTTTAATTTATACCTCAGTTGTTTATCCACTGTGCAGCCAAAAAGGAGGCAAGCCCTTAGGGCTATATAGTGGACAGAAGATGGAAGGTTACACTTTCATATTAAGACAACAACAACTTCCTGCAAGAAAACAAATCCTCGTTTGCCAAAGAAAGATCAAGTGATCCTGCTCTTCTCATGAAATTTGAAGAAGTATCAAAGCATAGTAAGCCTTGAGAAGTTACCCTTTGGGGAACATGTTGCTTCACCTGGCTGGTGTCCAAACTCAGAACGAAATGTTAATCAAAATCAGCTCAACTATGACATTTTGCTTATTATTAAAGTGCAAATTATTGTTGATGATTGTTCATGCTGTTAAAAATTTTGCATTCCAACCCCATAATATTTTAAACCTGTTTTTGAGCAGCAGCATTGATTCTAGAGCCTCCTGCAATAAATATTAAGAGGGACATCTTATTTTTATTTGTGACATTTGTGTTTTTCTTGACTGATCTACTGTATGTTTCAGATAAATACTGAGCAACATGTTTGTATTAAGAGTGAAATCCTTACAGGGATTCTTCTCATCCAGCAAATGTTTACATTTGGTTATGCCCTGGTCACCTTATCTTAATACAGTTCAAATTTTTGTACTACTTCCAAGAAGACACCCACTATTCAAACTGTATTGATCCAAAAATCCTAGGCACCTAAAACCTACATATTTCTCTGACGAATCTATATAAATAGCACGACCATCCTTATCACTGGGGAAAGTCAGGCCCTGATAAACAGTTCTTGCCATGGTTGTTGTGGGTTCTTTAAGGCTCTTTGGCCATGTTCTGAAGGTTGTTTCACCAGTCTCTGTAGCCGGCATTTTCAGAGGACAGGAGTCAGAACTCTGTACATCAGACCCCGGCCATGAAAGCCTTCGAGAATACAGCTCTTGCCATGTCATGCTTAAAGAACTGAAGATATTATGCCTATTACTGCTTAAAGTTAGGGTGAAGAGATATACTTTTTGCCCATCCTCACTAGGCCAGCTTTCACTTCTTTATTCCTTAGGCTATAGATAATTGGATTTAACATGGGTGTGACAATGCAATACAGTGAGGAAATCAATGTATCGATATCCAGAGAGTACCCAGAACTAGGCCTATTATAATTAAAGTTGGCCATGCTGTAGAACACAACAACCACAATCAAATGTGAGGTACAGGTGGAGAAAGCTTTAGTTCTGCCTCTGGAGGAGTTGATCTTCAGGATGGTGCTGATGATGCGGATGTAAGAGACCAGAATGAACAGGCAAGGGCTGAGTCCTATCAGAGCACTGGCAAGATGAAGCACAGCTTCATTGATGGAGGTGTCTGAGCAGGAGAGCTTCAGGAGCAGGGGGATATCACAGAAGAAATGGCTAAGCTCATTAGACTTGCAGACGGTTAAGGAGTATGTAAGGAGAGTGTGCACTAGTGAGTTTGTCAAGCTACACAACCAAGAAAATACAGCCATCTTCATGCAAGCCCTTTGGTTCATGATGCTAGAATAATGTAAAGGGCTGCAAATAGCCACATATCGGTCATAAGCCATGATAGCTAGTAATACACATTCTGTTCCAGCACACGTTATCAGGAAGAACAGCTGGGTGATGCATCCTCCATAGGAGATTGTTTTCTTTGGCCGGAAGAAATTTGCCAGCATAACAGGGACTGTAGTGGAGGTATAACAGATGTCTACAAATGACAGGTTGCACAAGAAATAGTACATGGGTGTATGAAGGGTAAAATCAGTTTGGACCAAGATTAGTATTAGGGTATTGCCCACTAGAGTAATTGCATAAATGGCTAGGAATACCAAAAAGAATAGAACATGAAGGTCAGGGTGGTTTGAAAAACCAAGGAAAATCAATTCATTGATGAAGGTTTGGTTTTCCATTTGTTCAGGGATGTATCTGAAAAGAAAAAGAAAGGAAGGAAGGAACAATCACCCAAAGAGAGATAATCAATGTGTACAAAACCAACAGGGGTACACAGCTGATGGTCAACACTAACCCCCAAAATGCAAACTGGTCCTTAGTATCTTCAAATTGAATCAATACAAATTTCCCCCATGTCACTCTGAACATACTGATTTTGTAAACTCACCGGGGGCAGATCTTGTTTGTACTTGGATGGGAGACCATCATGGAATACCAGGATGGAATCTCCAGGTAGGACTAGAAAAGGATCCTACCTGAAACCATGGACTGGACTAGATGGATTGATAAGAATCTGATTCAGTATGAGACAGCTTCCTTTTCTCTAAGGGCAGAAAATAGGTTCATGTTGAAGAGCCTGACTGATTTGTGTTTGAAGGTATCCGATGCACCAGTTCTGGAGTTCCATCACAAAATGAAGCACACTCATTTGGCTCTGGGTGCTGTGTGGCCAGCTGAAGAGGCCAACGAGAAGATCCAATAAGAAAAAGCTTTCTCACAAAATTTCCCAAAAGGCAGGGATAGAAATAGTGTAGAGCAACTTGGGTTTTGGCTCAGGGAACCAAAATGGAAAACACAGAAATCAAGCGCTTAATTTACCAGTGAGTGGTAGGAAAATAAATGGCAGTTCGTCCTGGACCTATTCAGTATTCCCTTTTTTTTAAAAGCATGAACTTCCATTTTGTTTTAGAGCTGCAGTTCCCAGCATTGGGTCCTCAGATGTTTTTGGACAACAATCTGAGAAATCCTGGCCATTGCAGCTACTAGTGGTGAAGGCTTTGGGGAGTTTTAATCCAAGAACCCAAGGCTGAGAATCACTGTTTTAGGGCGACACCATCTTTTCTTCTTCCTTCCTCATAGGGGGCGGGGAGTTGCACCCATGCTTCACAGTATGAGTGGGACACAGAGCTGCTTCCCTGGGAGCCAAATCTGCTAATTCTAGCTGTGCCAAAAAGGAACAGGGCATAGAGTGTGAATAAGGCACAGGAAACAGTTGTTCTGTTTCTTCCCAGTTGTTAGTGCCTTTGTTTTCCTCATTAACACTAACTGCAGCTATGCCTTTGTTCATTTGTTCAATGAGGATTTGCCATTCTGTAGCATCTCACAAACTTTAATTTTAAAAAGTGGCCATGGGAAGCATTTAAATCATTCTTGTTGCACTAGTTTTCATGCAATAAACAATTTATGGCTAATTTTCTCTTCTGAAGCAAGACAAAATAAAATAAACTAAAATAACAAATACCAACTTTTCCTGTCACCTGTACAGAAAGATAACTTAGTTTCTTCCCACATCTTTGAGTAAGATTAATTTTTTAAAAAAATCTTGCTTCATAAATAATTTTCAGGTACCACAGACACTAAATTCTTGTCTCACCTTGTTTGTCCTTACACTGCACTTAAGGTGATCTAATTTTACAGGATTTTTTCCCTCCCTTCTGTTCTACTGGGTGTATATTTCCCTCATAAAAATGTAATTTGTACTAAATCAAGATAAGCTTTTAGTAGCTGAAATTTATTGCTGTTCTTTAGATACAACATCCAGTTGGACATCTTCATGAGAAATTATTTTGTTTATTCCAAATAAAACATTCCTACGGCTTCTTACAGCTTATGTGTAGATTAACCCTACATTTTCTCACAGAGGAGTAAATCAGATCTACAAGATTCACCATGCCCCAAATCCTATACTAGAGCTGTGAATGTTGAATGTGCCTTCTCCATTAAGATACACACATAGGCTTCTTTTATGCCAATTGAACTGGAATGGAATTAGAAAACTATATAGCAGTGCGAGATAGACGTCAGTTGTTTAAAGTTGATTCTTGGTTACAAAAGTTTTTTTCATGACATTGGCATAATTTAGATGTGAAAAGTTGTGTTATAATTGCTACTATATTAAGCAACTGATGGTCAGAAACTCTTTCCAATAAGCTGTAGCTCACTCAGAGATCTAACCATAGGTGTGAATTTGCCCCTTGAATGGATCATCCTGCTTGATCTTGTGCTTTGAATCAAGGCACTGTCATTGAATTTTCTGAATGATCTTCCAGGGGAGCTTTAAAGCCCAGTGCCTCTAATCAAGAGATTCAGGGTCATTTCTCTGTATTTTAATGGTTGGACAAGGCAATAGAGATGAGCACATCATTAGAACCTGCGAGCATGTTAGTGTTCCATAAAAACAATTCCCTGGCAGCTTTATTCCTGAGCCGTCATATTTGTAAGTGGAGCCCATGTTTACTTCCCAGTGACCAGTTGGAAAACTAAATAAGGTAATTAGATACAGAAAATGAGAAAATCTTGTGCCAGTGCCAAACCAATTCCCCCCCCCCCAGTACTTATCAGGAAATTCTCACTTCCAAGAATGTGTGAGTTTGACCTGGTTTCAGTGAATAGCACTATCAGCGAAGATGCCTTTGGGAAACTTCTGAGAATAGATAGTTGACAGCCAATAGCATTCGGTGGGTGTATTTCAGTAGGAGCTGGAATAGGCAAAGGAAACACAGATGGAGGGCAGAGAAGATGGAGCTTCCTCTTCCCCCTCCTCAAGAAACATGCTAGCTGAAGCTAAGATGAGAACAAAACAAAACAGCACACAACACTCGGTGCAGAGAGATCTATGCTGGAAGTAAATCAGGCTGCTGGTGGTTGTATTTTAACTATATGCATCTGTACAACTTCCCTCTGCTCTATAGCTTCAGTCCCAATTCTGTCTCTACCCCAACACCAAAGCACCCACAGTTACTTTCAGAAAAAGATATTGGAATAAAGATGTTGTAAAATTCAGTTTGGTCCTCAGTGTGAGCCCATTTGCCTGCCTATCCTTTCCATGAAACACACTACATTGTACTTTTCTGAGTGGGCTCATTCACTATTTGCTGAACTGCCTCTTGCCCTTGTGAAAGGGAGGAAAGAATGGCAGACAATGAATGGAGCTAATGTTATGGCCAGATGGATCTTTAATTTCGGTCCAGTCTTCTAGCTTTAGCTGACCTGGGTTCCTCCAGATGTGTTTCATGGATGACAACTTCCATCATGTCTAGCCAGCACAGTCAATGATCATTTGGTCTGGGAATTATGAGATTTGTAATCTAAGGCATCTGGAAGGCATCAGACAGGGTAAGATTTCTTTTTTTTGCTTGCTTGCTTGCTTTGAGAAGCTTCTAAAAAAGCAAGCATCTGACAAATCTGGACAGTGACTGACTAGCAATGCACTGGTTGATTCACCTCCCATTAAATGCAAACTCAGTGCAAGATCATTTCACTCTGTTCTTGTAACCGGGCGGCTGCTTTTCATATCAAAATAGGCATGTCTGAATGCTAGAGCACCTCTCGCTTCTATTTTGTCAGTAATCCCATGCTGACAGATCAAAAGGACTTCAACAGATTGGACTAAATAAGGGTTGAAGAAACAGGTTGCCTGTGATCAAAGCAGGATTCCTTATCCCACAATGGCAAGATGAGGTGCCTCCCCCTGCTCAGATCAGGGGCCACCACTGTGGAAGACTACGCTCCATACACCTGGTGCTTTCCACTTCTGCATGGTCAGATGATCAAAAAAAATGCTACCAGCTTTAGAAAGGGTACTACCAGTTTCTGGCGTTTTTGTACAATTTGCTTTATTTTTTAATCATATCAGCAAAGCATAAGCAGAGGCAAACAGCACACAGTAAACTCCATTTGGTAGCAGATCATCAGAGACCAACTTAAGATTGCATCCTAGCTTCCAGTACTGTACTTAGATTGTTATATGGATCAGGACCTGGGAAGGATGACCCCGTATGATACAGCCATAAATTTTCCTGGACGGTTTTTGGCTAGCCACTTTCTCTTAGCCTAGCCAGCCTCCCTATGTGTGCCCATGGAGGTGGAGAGAACCTATACGCTGCTCTCAGCTCCAGAAAGGAAGAAAGGGAGGAAAGAATGGCAGACAGGGAGTGGAACAAATTAATTTGAGCTAAAAACTCTCAGATCTCAAGCAGTTGTTATTTCTCTCCTGCACGCCCTGCAGAGCACTAACCTTCTCTACCGGTGAAGAGAAATTGAATGTTCAGGAAACTTTGGCTGTCAATTGAGTAATAATACGCTTTCTTTGATAAAAAGCCTGACTTCACTCAGGTAAGACCTTAAACAAACCATAGTAATAGACTCATTCACTACAATTAGATGGACAGACTCACCACTATATTTCACATATGCTTTCAAGTAAAGTACGAAAAGTGTCTATTGGTCCACACATTCATTCACATTATTTGATCTGTAAGTCACAGATGAGTAACAATGTTCACTGTAACCTACTGTGTTTGAAATAATGTCAAATGACATGAATGTTCTGCCTGTTGCGTTGGTGATGGATGTATCACATACGCAAGTGATTACAATCTTGCGTTTTTTGTATGATAAGCCAATGTGTGAACTCACACTCAGCATAATGCAAATACTTACCCTCTTTCACAAATGGATTAAACACAATTTCGGAGTTATATGTTTCATTTCTGACAGTCTGCCTCTAGGAAGAATGAATCTTAAGGTTCCAGAACTCTACACACAAGATGCTGTAATTTATCCATTTCAGAATTCAAAGTACTTTTAAGAAAAGATATGGTACCCACCTGCAGTTGGTCTATTTCCAATTAACAACAGCATTGCTTCCTCTCAGACTCCTATAGATCAATTTAGGGAGGAATATTTAACAATCTATCAAAGGCCTGTGGGACATATTGTATTCAAAGGAGCATCTCGGGAACACATGCAAAGAAAAGGCAATTAAAGTTGCAATCCTACCCACACTTACCTGGTTAGTAAGTTTCACTGAACTCAGTGGGGCTTACTTCTGAATTAAACAGTAAGAATGATGTCTTGTTTTTAAGAAAGAGAAAAACAGCAAACATTATATGAAAATAGTTTATCCAGCATCCAGAGAATATAACTGATGTTGCCTTTGCTGCATTCAAAATGAAAC